CTGCTGAAACAGGAGACCTTCAGACCTTCAGACCTTCAGTCTGTTCTCCCAACTGGTCTATATCTTATTCTTAATAAGTTCTTGTTGTCAACTGTGGACTTCTCCTCTGTGTTATTTCCTGCAGTGAGGTCATGCTTTGGTGCAGATGTGGCGTTCTACTGGTTTTCTGCATCTGTCTTATAGCCTGTCTCAACATGTCTTCTTGTCCTTCTGGCTGCTGCTGTCCTGGCCCAGGACTTTTGGTTCTGTGCGAGTCCCTCGGACTGCGCTCTCTCCCACGCTCTGTCCCTCTGAGCACCTCCGCTCTTTCTGTGGCGAGAAATGAGTTATGTAATGTGGACCACATACTGAGACCCTTCTCCAGCCTCCAGGAGCTCAGTCTCAGTCACAACCAGTTGGCCCGCGTTCCTCGTGGCCTGCCGCCAAGCTTGGATACCCTGCTGCTGCAAGAAAACCGCATCACTTACATCACAACAGGAGCTCTGAGGCACCTCGGAAACCTTACTCGTCTGGATCTGGAGGACAACCGCATCCGTGTTGTCCAGCCTGGGGCACTCCGTGGCCTTAGCAAGCTTCAAGTTTTAACACTGAAGGGAAACAACCTCTCCAGCCTTCCTCTGAATCTCCCCCCGTCACTCATGCATCTGGACGTCTCAGCTAACTGCATCTCTGCATTGGACCTGCCCTCACTGTCAGCACTTGTCAACTTGCAGATCCTTAAAATCAACAGTAACTGCCTGCGCTCGGTCCCAGACGAAGCCTTTGACAGCCTGCCACGTCTCAGATCTGTTAACCTCTCCAACAACCTTTGGGTTTGTCAGTGTGAGATTTTATACCTTTACCGCTGGATACTGAGTGGTAGAATGAAGATGGCGACGGACTTGGTGTGTACTGAGCCTGTCCATCTCGCTAACCGTCTGCTTTTGAACCTCTCCATCATGACCATCTGCCCTCATGCGCTGAGGCCAAATGAGAAAATGCAACAACTGGACATGGTGACAGAAATACCAATGAATCAAAGCTGGTTTGAAAATAGGACAGAGCGCTTGTCAAATCCAACCACAGTTAGAGTCCTTTCTAAAGACGTTCCTGACAACCGTGTGCTGTATGAACACTTTACCTTAGAGACTCTCACCTATGAAGAATGTTTACACTTGAATAAAACACAAGCCCTAAATCCATCCAAATTAAAAACAGCAACTCCTTTTCCCAAAGACGATCAGAAGTGTAGAGACAACGTTACAGGTCAGAACCCTCAGCGTAATGTCTCCACTGCTGCAGAGGCCCTTTCCCTGCTGTCTACAAACAGAGACGCAGTGAGACCAACTGCTAACCCACAAATATTTGCACCACAGAACTCTGCAGTAGTCGTCTCCCTGCTAGCACTGCTATGTGTTTTAGTAATTGTCTTAATGACGGCAGTGATATTGGTGTTGAAAGTTATTCTCAGGCAACAACAGAGGGTGGCGCCACTAGAAGCAGGTTCTAGTGGATGACAACATCACAGACATAATGGAAAAGATTGAATAATTTATTTTATTTATGATACAATACACAACAGACCATGTCATGATTTATTTATGTACTGTTGCTTTATCACCCTGTATTCTTAATATTACCAGCCAAAAAAAGACCAATTGCCAAAATATAAAAAGAAGCTATTTCTGTATCTACAATGAATAATTATTTTTGTATAAAAGGTTCTAAAAGGTTGAAACAGATTGTTATTATCATGACCTGAAACTATTTTCCAAAATAATAATTTATTAATGATCACAGACTTTAGATGGTACACATTTTTCATATTATAGCTCTGGTTTCACAGATGGTTTCTTTGCATTTAAAAAAGTGTTGCCAATCTTTTAAGACAGAGGCTATAAAACTATAAAACTGATCTTTCATTAAGTACCGCACTGCTGCTAGACCGGAGCTGCTGCTGCTGTAAATACTAGGGTGACATTCTTATAGTGGACAGTAATTATCAGCACATTAACTGTTGGCTTTGACATGATTCTCCTTTTTGCCCTTTTACTTCAGTCTGCAGTCTGACAATGCTGTTTTTATGGCATCTTCTACAAGCACTGAGAGAAAAAAAAGTTTTGAGAAACAAGAGAATGACTATCAGAAAAAAACAAAAACAATTTTGCACTGTGAAATTTCATGTCATAATATGTAGAAACTGCTTATAGACACCAACAGTTACAATATACAATTCTAGTACTGTACTCCCCCCCCCCCACTCTTTACTTATGTGTTTGTTATCTTTAATCTTACTAGAGCAGTGAAGTTTGACTGGAGGAAGGCTGTGTTTTTGTTCTTCAGAGCTTCGTCAATCTGCCAAGTGAAGGAGAGGAATCAGATAACAATAACAAAAGAAAGAAAATGATACAGGAAAACTAGTTATTTAAAAAACTAAATTTTCTCTTAAAGTGATGAACACACACCGACTTGCCCTTCACCCACTCTGTTGCTAGGGAACTGGAAGCAATTGCTGAGCCACATCCGAATTTTTTGAATTTTGCATCTACAATCTTGCCACTTTCATCCACCTGAATCTGCAAACAACACAAAAATACAATCAAGGAGCATCTTCTGTTTTCATTAACATAAACAAATACTTATAATTACTGTGCGTATATAAAAACACATGAGACTCATCATTGTAATTGTAAAGAAATTGTTGTATTAAAAACAACAATAATTTGTGTATTTTACAGTATTTGGAAAAAAGATATTCATTAAATCCATAAAGAATGATATGAACCTTGTAACATATATAACCTTGCTTCAAGCGTCTCGAATATCGAATATCCCCAGCTTACCTGACGTTTCATTACATCACCACAGGCTGGTGCACCCACTAAACCAGTTCCTACGTTCTTAGTGCTTTTGTCCAAAGAACCTTGGGTTCTTGGGTTTTCATAATGGTCTAATATTTCAGGAGAATAACACAACACATGAAATATCATACAACATAGCGTTGGGTAATTGGAAATTTAGTAAGTTACCTTTTTGTGATATGAACACACAGCCTTAATCTTACAATTTCGTAAACCGGTGGCCGCCATGTTTTGTCGAAAGTGACGGAAATCAACGATAGGACACGAGTGTTTGTTTACAAACAAGAAAGGATTCGCCTTTGAAGCAGCGCCTACTAGCGGCTAACGGGAGGACATTACGCAGCTACACCTAACGATGACTGTTACCAGGCAGATAGCCACTTCAACATGGCGGCGTCAGGCAACGCAGAGCTAACGCAGTTGCAGGATATGGAGGAGGAAGACGCGGGAATGGAGGAAAGAGAAATGCAGTCGGACGAGGAGGACGAAGAAGGCATGGGAGAAGAAAATACAGACGACTCGTCTGAAGACGAGAAGGAAAATGAAGCAGAAATCCAGCGTTTAGAGGAGCAGGTAATTAGCCAACAAGCGACAGGGGCTAAATGAACTAACGTATGGAACTAACGTGCTAATGATAATGAATGGGCGATGAACATAGGCATTTTGAACATCTATCCATCTCCTAAACAGTAAACTGTTGTGTTTTAAAAATGCCTGTCACTTATAAATGTTAACTGTTGTGATCTATACAACTATTAAATAGACATGCCAGATATGACGCCATTCATTAAAGTGTCGTGATTAGCAGCTCTGCTAATCCGTGGTGCTTTTGTATCACTTTTACCCAGTCACAGATTATTACAGATTTTTGTTTGATGTTTTCGTACAGACAACTCCAGCTCTGAACTCACGCTGTGCAAACTTTGCCCATTTAAAGTGTTGTATATATAGGAGACGTACACATGACAATTGTACACGTGTTAACTCCCCATGTAACACGGGAATAATTATACCATTTTAAAATACAATCAAGTCTCACATTTCAGATGTTTCTTACAGTGCACACCATCAGATTCTCTGCAGCAGGACTGATATTTTTTTCTTTCTTTCTACATTGTAGTTTAATGTCTACTGTGACACATTTTACTATTTGCACATGACTGTCCCCTCTTTAAATTTGGTTATTGGCACACCCCACCCTCATAACCTGTATTTCAGCAAGTGTGATCTAAATCATTCACAACATTTTGAGTTGTGATGCCCACAAAGTGAAATACAGTAGTAAACAAATTTTCAATACAAAACCTCTGAGATAAAATAAATAAACTGGGAGCTGACTGTGTTTGTTGGTGTGCTGTTGAACCAATGTGTTCATAGTCAAAGTGGTGATTGTGTCAGTTAGTAAAATGTCATTGCTACCTTGGTAGTTTAGGGTATATTAATGACATAGGTATAAGGGTAAAGTTTCAATGTCACCTAGATGTTTTTAGGGCTGTCAAAATGAGTGCCTGAACTCTTAGCTCATTTGGGAAATAAATCAGATTCAATTTGAACACATTTAAATGCACATACAAAGTAATGTACACTGTATATCTTTTGACTTAAAAATTGATTTTATAATTTTCTCTACCTTTTAGCTGTCAATCAATGCTTTCGACTACAACTGCCACGTGGATCTCATCAAACTCCTCAAACAAGAGGGGGAACTTCTCCAATTGCAAAAGGCAAGACAGAAGATGAGTGAACTTTTTCCACTTACTGAAGGTTGGCAAATTACTTTTATAATGTAATTTCATTGACTGTCATCTGCCCTGCCATGTTTATGCATATTTTATTGCATTTATTTCCTCCAGAGATCTGGTTGGATTGGCTCAAAGATGAAATCCGTCTGAATGAAGAGCAATCAAACCGAGAGACAGTTTATGAACTTTTTGAGAGAGCTGTAAAAGACTACATCTGTAAGTACCTGACAGCCATTGTTTTGACCTTACATATCTATTCAGTTGGTCATTTTTACATTTTAAATTCTAAAACATTCTAAAACTAGTCTTTCTGCTCAGGTCCAGAAATTTGGCTTGAATATGCTCAGTATTCTATTGGTGGAATGGGCTCACCAGGTGGAATAGACAAGGTGAGGTGTATCTTTGAGAGAGCTGTGACAGCTGTTGGGCTGCACATGACCAAAGGACAGCTTGTGTGGGAGGCGTACAGAGAATTTGAAAACGCCATCCTGTCTACAGTCCAGGTTTGGGTTTTATCTTTATCTCAGTAATAGACCACAAACATGTTCACATATTTATTTAAGATATGTTAATTTGTAAAAATATTTCAGTGTTTTCAAGTTTCAACACTGAAATTTTCATGGCTGTTTTTCATCTCAGCCTCCACCTGGCAGGATTCCCAGTTGTGAGGAGCAGGAAATGCTGAACACCCAGCTGGAGCGAATTCACAAGCTCTTTCGACGCCAGCTGACCGTCCCTTTAATGGGTGAGTGTGATGCCTTGCCTGTCACAGATCATTTTCCTTAAGGACTGTAGTTGTGAATTCTGAGCTGATGCAGCTGTGCTCCTTTGAAGACATGGAAACCACCTATGAAGAATATGAAGATTGGTCAGACCAGGGTGTCTCTGAGCTTGTGGTACCACAGTACACAAAAGCGATGCAGGAGATGGAGAAGCGTAAATCTTTAGAAGAATCTCTGGTAAATGTCTTGTCATGTCCTGATACCATTAACTGAAAACCCCTGTCTTTTTCTGTCATGAATTACATCATCTTTGCAATGTTTTCTCCATGCTGTCATTGTCTCAGCTAATAGCAGAGCCTCCAAAGATGTCTGAGTATCAGACCTACATTGACTTTGAACGAAAGGAGGGCGACCCAGCTCGGATCCTGATCATCTTTGAGAGGGCACTGGCAGAGAACTGCCTAGTGCCAGACCTGTGGGCAAAATATACCAGCTACCTTGTGAGTAAATGTCAGTGGCTGTGTGATTTTAATAGAATCTCATTTATTGTTAGGACTTTCCCCTCGGGTTCTTCATAGTTCAAACAATAAAGTCCTTCATGGTTCAAACAATCCTTTAGTAAAAATGGATGGATTATATGAATTTAATTGTGTCTATATCCTCCAGTACAAAATAATTTTAACTGTTTTAAATCTCTCTGTTCTTGTCAGGATCGCCAGCTGAAGATCAAGGAAGTTGTTCTTTCAGCTCATGAACGAGCCGTGAGGAACTGCCCTTGGACCATGGGTCTGTGGAAGAGTTATCTGCAGGCTTTGGAGAGGCATGGAGCTGATCATCAAACAGTCTCAGGTCAGTAGAGGAGAACTGAAAGCTGTTCAGATGAAGACATACTGTGTATATCAATAATCAGTGGATGTCGTTTCCTGTTGCTTGAGGGTTCATGGGAGTTTGCCCAACCGGTCCACATGTGTTTTGTGGACTTGGAAAAGGCTTTCGATCGTGTCCCTCGTGGTATTCTGTGGGGGGTGCTTCGAGAGTATGGGGTTGGGGGCCCTCTTTTAAGGGCTGTCCAGTCCCTGTACGATCGGAGTAGGAGCTTGGTTCGCATTGCCGGCAGTAAGTCGGACCTGTTCCCGGTGCATGTGGGACTACGGCAGGGCTGCCCTTTGTCACCGGTTCTGTTCATTATTTTCATGGACAGAATTTCTAGGCGCAGCCAGGTGTCGGGTGGGGTCCAGTTCGGTAGCCACCGGATTTCATCTCTGCTTTTTGCAGATGATGTGGTGTTGTTGGCTTCTTCGAACCAGGACCTGCAGCATGCACTGGGGCGGTTTGCAGTAGAGTGTAACGCAGCTGGGATGAAAATTAGCACCTCTAAGTCCGAGGCCATGGTTCTCGACCGGAAAAAGGTGGTATGCACCCTTCGGGTCGGGGATGAAGTCCTGCCTCAGGTGGAGGAGTTCAAATATCTGGGGGTCTTGTTCACGAGTGACGGTAGAATCGAGCGTGAGATTGACAGGCGGATCGGTGCTGCGGCCGCAGTAATGCGGTCGCTGTATCGGTCCGTTGTGGTGAAGAAGGAGCTGAGCCGAAAAGCGAAGCGCTCAATTTACCGGTCAATCTACGTTCCTACCCTCACCTATGGTCATGAGTTGTGGGTCATGACCGAAAGAACGAGATCAAGGATTCAAGCGGCTGAAATGAGCTTTCTCCGCAGGGTGGCAGAGCGCTCCCTTAGAGATAGGGTGAGGAGCTCTGTCACGCGGGAGGAGCTCGAAGTAGAGCCGCTGCTCCTCCACATCGAGAGGAGTCAGCTGAGGTGGCTTGGGCATTTACATCGCATGCCCCCCGGACGCCTCCCTCGGGAGGTGCTCGGGTGCCGTCCCTCTGGGAAGAGACCCAGGGGAAGACCTAGGACACGCTGGAGCGACTACGTCGCTCGGCTGGCCTGGGAACGCCTTGGGGTCCCCCCAGAAGAGCTAGAGGAAGTGTCGAGGGAGAGGGAAGTCTGGGTGTCCCTGCTCAGACTGTTGCCCCCGCGACCCGGCCCCGGATAAGCGGTTGAAGATGGATGGATGGATGGAAAAGTGATTTCTCTTGTGTGAGTACAGGGTGATCTAAGGCGACAGCGCCGTGTCCCATTAGTCGTCAGGTGAGATGGACTTTATTATGAATTCATTATTAATTTATACATCTTTTTACAACCCACACTACTAAGGCCAAACACGCATAATTAGAAGTCAGCATTGTTTGATTGCTGATGAAAACAAAGTGAGAGTGTGGAATAACACAAGTAACATCTGCTGCTGCAATGTCTTATTCTTCCTTTTTCTATGTCATAGAACAAGCTCCTAAAAGACACAAGGGAAATGGAGACCAGACCACAGAGGAGTACATGGAGACTGAGACTGGGCTCGTTGGGAAAAACGGTCCTCCTGGCTATAACCTGGCACAGTCTGACACTAAAAAGCCTCAGCGTGGACCTGTGGTTGGAGCCATGAGACAGAACGATGACAAGCAAGAGCTACGGAATGATAAGAGCAGCGTGTTTATTAGTAACCTGGCGTACACCCTTGAGGAGCCAGAGGCGAAGCTCAGGACGCTGTTTGAGATGTGCGGCTCCATAGAACAGGTTCGCCCCATCTTCGGAAACAAAGGGGCTTTCAAAGGCTACTGCTATATTCAGTTTGAATCTGCTTCATCAGTCACTGAAGCCCTGAAGCTAGACAGACGAGAGTTGGAAGGAAGGCCCATGTTTGTGTCGCCTTGTGTGGATAAAAACAAAAATCCTGACTTTAAGGTAAACAAAGTCTGTTTCTGTCAAGTCCTTAGTACCTACAGGAAATTATTTTTTTTTTATTTTGTCCTTGCAGGTGTTCAAATACAACGCATCAATGGAGAAACACAAAATCTTCATCACTGGTCTGCCGTTCTCCTGCACTAAAGAGCAACTGGAGGAAATCTGCAAAAAACACGGGAGTGTCAGAGAAGTGCGTCTAGTCACATATCGCTCAGGGAAACCGAAGGTGAGAATTAGCACCTTTTTCCTCTATTTTCTACCAATAGAAAGTACCGTATTTTTCGGACCATAAGGCGCACCGGATTACAAGGCGCATTAAGCGAAACAAAACAGTCAGCGAAACAATTAAGTGAAACAATCAAGCATGTACAGATCCCTCTCGTCATTATCCGAGTCAGTCTCGTTGATGTTAATTTGTTGTTCAGTGATGATTCCGGCCTTCGTGAAAGCTTGGACGACATTTGAGACTGATACCTTAGCCCAGACATCCATGATCTATAAGCAGAAAGTGGCGTAACTCGCCCGGCGGTGCCTCCATGTCTTGGTGAATGTGTGTTTGCCTTGTGTCATCCAATGCTGCCACGCAGCTCGTAATTTAAGTTTGAACGCCCTGTTAACACCAATATATAGCGGCTGGAATTCTGTAGTTAATCCACCTGGAATGATGGCAAGCCCCGAATTAGTTTGCTTCACTTGGGTTTTGACAATATCGGTGAGATGGGCGCGCATAGAGTCGCAGATCAATTGGGATGGAGATTTGTGGAAAAGAGTAGTGACGTAAGTTGGACACTGGAGGGCGCTGATGTTGTTCACCCCTCCAGAGTCAGGAGGTTGTCACTATTTTGTTCTGGATGGTTACCGTATTGTTGTTTTGACGCTGTTCCATGCGGAGGTGCAGATATTGTTTTGCAGAGAGAGTGTGTGTTTTGCCTGGATCGTTAAAAAAAAAGAAATACAAAGAGTTCTTGACCACAAAAAAATCGACAGTCATGCGTCGAAGTCGTCCTGCATCGCACCATACATTGACAATACAAAAACACAACGCAGAGTCTCTGGGTGTTAGGAGGCACGATGCGATGTTGCATGGATTTGGGTTGCACAACCATGCTGTAATAACAGAGTTAAACGTCATTGTTGATCGTTAAAAAAAAAGAAATACAAAGAGTTCTTGACCACAAAAAAATCGACAGTCATGCGTCGAAGTCGTCCTGCATCGCACCATACATTGACAATACAAAAACACAACGCAGAGTCTCTGGGTGTTAGGAGGCACGATGCGATGTTGCATGGATTTGGGTTGCACAACCATGCTGTAATAACAGAGTTAAACGTCATTGTTGGCTCCCAGTGTGCTTCAGTTGTGTGCCATCATGTGTGATGCGCTGTGTGGTTTGGCTTATAAAATCGGTTCGAGGTCAGTAAGCGCAACCAGAAGTAATACATAAGGCGCACTGTTGATTTTTGAGAAAATTAAAAGGATTTTAAGTGCATCTTATAGTGCGTAAAATACAGTACTTGCTTCTACCCACTGGAGTCTAAGCTGCGAGATGGAGTGAAGTGGTGCTCTTTGTTCATGCATAAAAACACATGATTAACAGTGCCAACCATCTGTTGTAGCCTTAAGGACCACAAAACATTTTTTTATATTAATTAATATACTGACTGTAAGATTACCACTTGAAATGCCAGGGTCTCTATATAATGTCTCCATAAGTTTGATGACGTTCTATAAACCTTTCTATGGTTTATATGTTATGTTTCTGGTCATTAATTATTATTGGCGACAGTCTCCAGTACTTCTCATTATACAGTGATCCTGTTAATAATAAGTTACCCTTTTGCAGAAATGGGATAGAAATGTCCAAGTGGACTTATCTTGGACGTCTGTCCTTCTCATGTCAAAAAGTACAGCTGTGAAAGGAAAAAGGACTATAATTAATAAACTAAACTATAAATTAGCTCCAGGGGAACTGAAATATCATGAGAGATAATCAGAGATAGACCCCACATGACCTGAAGGATCTGATTTGGCTAAAAGTTAGCCTGGAAACATTACTTTCAGCTTGTCCCTTCATCAAGTGTCACCGCAGTGATTTACCAGTTTTGGCACCAAATTACTTTTCTGGCACCAGTTTGTTTAAATAAAAGTTAGCTCAGAAGAAGTTAATGCTAAAAGAAAAGCTAAACATTCTCTACAAAATACTACAAAGAATTACCTCATAAATGTTCTAAAATTTCCTAAAAACATTTCTTTCAGTCCCGTAAAGACCTCATTTAGAAACACCCCGCTAGGCTAGTGATAATTGATGGCGTTGGTGATGCTGTTCTTCTGAACCTTATCTGTCTTGTGTGTCTCCAGGGTCTAGCATATGTCGAGTTTGCTGATGATACTCAAGCTTCTCAGGCAGTTTTGAAAATGGATGGCACAGAAGTAGAAGGAAACATGATCTCAGTGGCTATAAGCAATCCTCCACGCAGGAACACGATGGAACCTCCTGGATCTGGCAAACCTATGGGCAACATGATGCCTCGCCAGGTCTACGGAGCGTAAGTTTCATTCTCCTCTCCCTTTTTCCAGTGTGGAACTCCACAAACACACACCTGTGTTTTTCTTCTTCTTTGTTCAGGAGAGGAAAAGGTCGAACCCAGGTGTCACTGCTCCCTCGGTCCCTCCACAGACAGACTGGATCCATAACAAAGGTGGAGAATGGGGGCTCAACTGAATCTAGCAGTTCGTCGCTGAATGCAGCCACAGAGACTAAATCTTTGTCCAATTCAGACTTTGCCAGGATGCTTCTAAACAAGTAAGAGAATGAGTGAGAGAATCGTGACTGCCTTCACACTGACAGCATTCTTGTGTCCTCACAAATCATGGTGAGTTTTTTTTCTTTCTTTTTTCTAACTGTTTACCTGATTTCCCTTTAATCTCTGTTCTCATTGCAACTCCCGACAGACTGCCTTAATCATTAAGCTCCTTTGTTACAAACCCTTTTCAACCAATACTTGTCAGCTGTGTGACAGTGTTTATGTTTAGGGCAGGACATTTTATTGAAACAGTGTATTATAGCTATGTGTAAATACACTATCTATAGTAAACCTGCTGTTTTTTGTTGTGTAATGTTACGGGAGTCTGATAGAAAATTCTAAATATTTTTTTTACAAATTAAAACAGCCTGAATGTGAGTGTTAAGGCTATGACAAAGATTGACTGTTCACGTGTTGTGTAGGTGATGTGTGTTGGTGTGTTTGCATATACGCGTGTTTATATCACAGTAAAGATATCCTCCAGATCTTTTCCAGTTGTTTTTAGGGAACATACTTTTGTTGTAGATGAACGTGTACTACTATCATTTTTTTCCATCAAATGGCAACATTATTTTGATGCTCCTGGGGAGCATCGTCACCAAAACTACCATCCAATCGTATTGCACTGTGAATGGACCTGTTGGTTAAGGATTAAATCATTGTCAAATTAAACTTTCTCTTCAGTCTGACTCTCACTGTAAGAATCCAGAAGGTTAAATGTCACTGATGGACTAATATATTTATCTACAGTAATCGAGTGTGCGCTAAAGCTGTGTTAATGAGTAAATGCATTTGGGTCATTCTCATGAAATCTTGGTTTCATAGAATGGAGACAAGGATTTTTTTGGAAAAAACGAATTTTCTTTGTGTCCATTAAACACAAAGTCTGCAGTGGTTATGATTGGGGTTTTTAAAATATTTAGTGTCCTTAAAAATGTCATTATCACAATGGTCTGAAAATATCAAGACCATTGAGAGCCAAAAATTGTTCAAATTTTCAAAAATGTATTATTAATTGCCACGCCTAATTACAATTTTTTAAATTTACTTTTCTTTTTTTTCTTTGCCTTAATGTCTCTTGCTATCTACAACCTAATAGTTTTGCTAATTCACTGAAATGTAACATATTTTCAAAATTATTTGGTAAAGACTAAAGCACTTGATGTACTATTTTTCAATTTATTAAATTAACCTTAAATGAACGTTTCAGTAATGATTAATACATTTCAGAAATGACAAAGCATGTTTCTGTAATGGCAGCCCTTAAGAAATACAGTTTTAATGAAGAAATTCATACACATGTAAACAGAACCAAAACAACATATATGTATAAAAAACCAACAACACACTATACGCCTATAGTCTTACTGTCACAAAAAAAAAGTCCCAGAAATGCCTCAAAATGCCAGTATATGCCCTAAAACATGCTGCCGAGTGAATATTTTGTGCTTAAAAACTCAAAAACCATCACCCTGGATGATTCCCCTGTGGATACTGTGGAGCACAGTCGCTTCCTGGGAACCGTCATCACTCAGGACCTGATGGGCTGAACATTATCTCCCTCAACAAAAAAGCAAAAAAGAGGATGCCCTTCCTAAGACAGCTGACACAGTTCAAACTTTCAAATACTTCTTCTTTTTCTTTCGGCTTTGTCCCTTTTTTCAGGGGTTGCCACAGCAAATCATTGATTTCCATATTGCCCTGTTCTCTGCATCTTCTACTCTGACTCCATCTATCTGGATGTCCTCCCTCACTGCATCCATATATCTCCTCTTTGACCTTCCTCTTTGTCTCCTACCTGATAGCTCCAGCTCTAACATTCTTCTACCAATGTATCCACTGTCCCTCCTCTGCACATGTCCAAACCATCTCAATCTGGCTTCTCTAGCTTTTTCTCCAAACCTTCCTGTCTGTGTTGTCCCTCTAATGACAGCATTCCTGATCCTGTCCATTCTTGTCACTCCTAAAGAGAATCTTTGCCACCTCCAGCTCCGCCTCCTGTCTTCTGCCTATTGCTAGTGTCTCTAAACCATACATCATGGCTGGTCTCACCACCGTCCTGTAAACCTTT